CTGTGATGTTGTTTTGCCGCTATCGGATACTATGTTCAACTATGTTCGGGATGTGTTTGTTGTAGCTCCAGAGTGACTTACGGGATGTGGCTGGTACATTCAGGTCAAGAGCTACAAGTCCTTCGTGAGGAAGGAAACTTGGACTTCCGTTCCGTCGCAGAGCCGTCTCGTTTGTAGACGGCGCTGCGGCCTCACAGCTCACGACAAGTCGTGGTATGCATGGGGAGGGGAGCAGTCTTGCAAGTGGTAGTGGAGGAGTTTGAGGACCTCGGCAACAAATATGATTGCCCCTTCGTCATCAAAGCAGTCGACGACATTAAAGGCTTCAGCCACGCCTTTGTAGGCCTGTTGGGCTTCGTGCTAGCCTTTGATGCTGTGATCCGGGCAATGATTTGGAACAGGTGACAAGGAGGGCAAGAGGTTGTTCCGGAAATGCAGCCCTGCAGAGCTGCGGCGCGCCGTCGAGGTATTTGGACAAATGCAGGTTTCAAAATAGTGGGCTGCGACGCATAGTCATCAAACAAATTTGGCTCGCCTTTTCAGGTGATGGTGAAGGGCCAGTGAAGGGGCTTCACACGCACGGCGGCTACATTGCCGGCTTTGTTTCTGGCAATCCTCTGCACTGCCGCCCGTGCAATGCAGCTCAGTGATGTCTAATGTTGTTCAGATGGTTGAAGTTTTTTTGATTTTTGTGACTGCTCGACTGATAAAGGCGTGCTGAATACTTGAATCATGATGGCCCAAAAGCTGTCCATGCTCAGCCTGCCCCATGACCTATGTACATCGCCAGGAAATCGGGCCCAGGAAGAAAGTTGATAGGACCTCGGTCATTGCTCATTCTCAAAAGGTGTGCTTGTCTGAGGGCGGTTGGGTGTCTACAGCCATCAAGCAACGCAGCAGGCAAAAAACTCGGACATTTCCGAAAGGAGAGTCTCTTGTTGGGCGTCATTAAAAGGCGGCACCCTTAAAACGTGATCCCAAAAAGGGACATATGGGTAGTTCCTACAGTAGTGTCTCTTTTTGGGCAGCCATTGAAAGGCGGAACCCTTTCAAAAGTGATCCCAAAAAGGGACCCTGATTCAGAGAACTGCCCATATACCCTAAACCCTAAACCCTAAACCCCAAACCCCAAAACCCCTAAACCCTAAGCCCTAAACCCTAAACCCATATCTTAACTGAAGCGAGGACCGTGTGGGGCTCTTCGCAACCTCGGTTGCCCAGCCCCCGACGACCACCGAGACCGAAGTCGACCGCAGGCCAAGTTCTAAGAGGGTTTAGGGATTGGGTTTTGGGGTTTTGGGGTTTTAGGGTTTTAGGGTTTTAGGGTTTTGGGTTTTGGGTTTTGGGTTTCCGAAAATAGGGGTACCGCACTGGGGTCCTTCGTAGATAGGGTGAAGCTTGCGAAAGTTTCTTCAACCTTGACCAGTACAAGCAAGACTCGACCCTAAACCCCAAACCCGAAACCTTAAGCCTTACACCGACTTCAAAACCCTGAAGCTCAAAAAGAAGAATCCAGCACCCCACGCCCCCAATGGCCCTTTCATCCCTTGCCCCTCGAGCTACGAATTGCAGGGTTTTAGGGTTTAGAGTTTAGGGTTTTTAGTGGCAGTTTGGTGGGCTCAGAGCTTCAGAGTCTGGTAGAGCAAAGGCTGTAGGGTGGAGAGGGCTCAGAGGTTAGCGCTTCAGGGCTCATGGTGGGGCTTCAAGCCTAGGTGTGTTTGAGGGTTGAAGGGTGCAGGGATGAGGGATTTGGGCTGCATCCATGCAGGAAGTCGCCTTTCGCGCAATGCCTGGTCGAGTACAAGAGGCCACCGGCCAGAAGAATTCGAAAAAAGCCCCAAACCGTCAACCTTAAACCCCAGCCTCATTTAAGGGGTCTCCGAACCTCCCTCTTATACGGGATACTCCAAAGCCTTGCAGCTTTTAGGTAACAGATTCCAGGGGCTGGGGTCGGGGTAGCCCCTTCAAGGGAGGCTTCAGAGACCCCATGAACACCGAAACGACTCCCAGGTTTGGGAGAGTCCGTCTTGGGGTGACAATCGGCTTCCCCAAAGGCCCAAAGTTGCCCGAATGTAGTGGGGTCTTCAATATAAGGCCGGAATATCCTTCAACCAAGCCTTGTTGTTCGCCTTGTTTTGGGTCGGAGGTGGTTCGTGTTAGTCATCTCATAGCGCATACCTGACACCCGAGCTCAAACATTTTGGATCCGCCCACTCTTGCCAAGCATCTACCAAGCCAAAAAGCCCAAAACCCTCTAGACCCAGCAAGACCCAGACAGCCTCAAACCCTAAACTACACCCTAAACCCAAAACCCTAAACCCTAAACCCTACAAACACTAACCCCTAAACTCTAGGCCCTGAACCTCACGCCGCAGCCATTCAAAGGCCAGACGGATCGCTCAATGGAGAGAGCTGGCTCTTCCACATGGACGCCGCCTTCGAAGACAAAAAGAGGCCGCAGTGAAAGCCTAAACCCGAAACTCCAGGGTTTAGGGTTTGGGGTTTAGGGTTTGGGGTTTGGGGTTTAGGGTTTTGGGCTTGGGGTTTAGGGTTTAGGGTTTAGGTTAGGGTAGCCCCAAACCCTAAACCGAAACCCAAGCAGGTTGAAACTCTAAGGGCCCCCCCACGCCCATGCGGGGTATCAAGGGGTCTGGGAGTCTGGAGTAGTCTGGCATTTAGGGCCCTACCGGCGTAAGCTCTCAACAAGTTTTTGTTCAGAGCAGCTCAGGCCGTATGATGTTGAAAGAAGTAGGACATGGAGGGCTTTCTGGCTCAGGCCGTGTTAAACTTATTAAGCCCTAAACGCTGAACCCTAAACCCTGAACCCTAAACCCTAAACCGTAAAGCCTAAACCCTAAACCCTAAACCCTAAACCCTAAACCCAGACCCCAACTGCCAATTAAGGCTTGGGGGATGTGGGGTCGATGTCAGGGCCGAGAAGAAGCCCAGCTTCTCACGGCTGCTGCAGAAGAGACCCCCGGCTGCACCCACGAGTTGAACCTTTGGAGTTTAGGGCTTAGGGTTTAGGGTGTAGGGTTTAGGGTTTAGGGTTTAGGGTTTAGGGATAGGCTTCCCTAAACTCGTAGAACCCTAAACCCTAAACCCTAAAAATTTAGAGTTTGCAGGGCTTATAGGGTTCCCTAAACTCTGACTAAACTTTGAGCATGTACGAGCCCTAAGCCAAAAACCCTAAACCCTATAAACCCTAATCCCTAAACCCTAAACCCGAAACCCGAAACCCTAAACCCTAAACCCTAACCCCTAACCCTAAAATTCTAGAGTTTAGGGTTTCAGGGCTCATGGTTGGGTTCTGCAAACATGCAGGGCTTGTGCGCATGGTCCGGAGGGAGGGCAGCGGCTTCAGGGGTTCAGGGGGTGTGGGTTTAGGGTTTCGGGTTTAGGGTTTAGGGTTTAGGGTTTCCGAAATTAGGGGTACCATATCGGGGTCCCTTATTTTCGTAGACCCCCGTTCAGGTGTTTAGGCGGTTTAGGCGCTTTGGGGTTTACATTCAATTTCGAATCTTGCAGTGTGAGCGCAATAAATCCCATACAGCCTACACACGCCGCCTAACCCCTGAACTCTAAGCCCTGCCCTCGCTCCAAGTGATTGATTCTCGTGGGACGCGCCAGGCTCTCACATTTGGGGCCGCACCACGACCGTGAGGCTGGCGGGCTCTTCGCAAACATCTGCGCTATCTAGGGGACGAAATAAACCCAATGCAAAACTATGGCCAATATATATCTGATCCTTTCCTGCTCGCCTCATCGAACGTGTTTCGCTGGCACGCCTCAGTCTCCCCTTCTTCATTTTGTGTTGGACGTCTCTCTGGGCATTCGCCCCTGCCTTTGGACTGAGCCTTTTCGCTGCGCCTGGCAAAGCTCGCCTCAGTCTCCCATGTCGCGCCGTCCACGGCCCAGTTTCGGGTTTCTACAGCCTCTTCAGCTCCAAGCCCTTTTCGTGCCGTCAGGCAATGAAGCCAGGTTTTCAGTTTTCCGTCGCCTGATTCAAGTGTGGTGCTGCTGTTCACCTTGGACTTTGTGGACATTTCGTGCCTGCCTTTGGACTGCAATCAAAGCTCGAGCTCTATGCGTCTCGCACCACTTGGGCTGGCTCTCTGCCGAGTTGCTGCCGGCCACCCCAGGCCGCCACTCTGGACCCAGACCTTCCTCGTCGCCTTATGGCATTATGGGTGCTGAGAAAAACTTCGCCAGGAAAACCTGCTGTCCTGGATGACCCGTCCAGTGCAAGGCTTCCTTCCTCGTAGTTCCTCGTAGGGTGCGGCGGAAATCGACCAACCTTTCCTTGCTGGTCGGGTTTGTGACAGCATGCTCTGCCGCCTGATCCTGTTGACCAGCCCCGCTTACTGCTGCCAGCGTGTTCGGCCGCCACTCCGTAATTCATCCTCCTCCCTTTCGCAGCCTGGCTCCAGTCCGATGCCAGTGTCCGCGTATTACATTACAGGCTTTCGCCTCCTCTCGCAGTCGCCCGAACCTTCTTCCTGCCCAGGCCCCTTTCTCGCCCCGTAACCCCCACTTGGGCCCATTCCGGCTATTTTACTTCTTTTTTAAACAAATCTTCGAGAGGGGGCCGATGGCACTTGCGGAGGCCCCCTGAGATGCTCAGCGGGGAAGAGTGCGGGAGGCCGTGGCCGTATGCCACTGGTCGATTCCTTCCCTTCCCTTCCTTCCTTCCCTTCTATATTATAGACGAAGGTAGGACCCGTCTCGACCCCTGTTTCATTTTCAGGGTACCATGTCGCCCCATGATTGCAGAGAATTGCAAGCATCAACACAGCAGTGCTCCTGCCCCAAACCCTAACTTGGGATTACTAGCAGTCCTTAAGAGGGATTGTAATAGGGGGTACGATAATCCATATTGAGGACTGTTAGTATAGGGGGGAACATCCCAAACCCCAACCCTGAACCAATTCTCTGACAGTGCTCTCCCACCCGTGAGTTGCCTCGAGCTGAACTCGCTCGCGAGCATCGGCGGGCCCTGCATGGAGTGCTATGCCTCAGAAGTCGGGTTGGGTTTGGGGTTTGGAGCTTAGGGTAGAGGGCTTAGGGTTTATAGGGGCGCAGAGAACAACGGCAGAGGTCTGCCAAGTTTCGACAGTGCTGATGCCAAACATTCCTGCCACGTCAAGCTCAGCTGCGTTGCGTCCCACCAACCTCAATCCCCCAGCCCTCTAAGGCTTAAAAGCAGTATTATAAGGGCCCTCACAGTCAATGTATACCACCCACACGTCCCCAAAGTTGAGCTCTAAACCCCAAGACCCTAGAACTAGAGCCCGGTACCCTAAAACCCCAAGCCCTATAAACCCTGAACCTGCCATCCGCACGCTATGTTCCAGGTGTGTGCGGCTCTTCGTCGGCGGCACCTACGGTGGAGGCGTCATCGCCAGGGCCTGAGTCCGACAGTGGACGGTTCAGAGAAGTCGGACAGGGTTCTGGGTTAATAGGGTTGATGGGGTTGATAGGGTTAGTAGGGTAAAGACAAGAGGGCTAGTATAGGATTAGGGCTAATAGAGGGCTAGTATGGCGTTAATAGGGTTAACAGGGTTAATAGGGTTAGCAGGGGTCATGGGTTAGTAGGGTTTAGGGGAGCTCCTGGGTTGAAGGATGTTGCTTTTTGGGAATGTTTGCCTAGCGTGCTCTACCTTGAATACCTGTGTTGCTCCTCCGACAAAGTTGACATCATCAGGGAAGTGTGTCTTAGTTATTTACCACACATCCACTTTCTGGCAATCGACTGTTGAGTTCCTTGACCCTGAACCCTAAACCCTAAACCCTAAACCCTAAACCCTAAACCCTAAACCCTAAACCCTAAACCTTGAACAGCAGCCCAGACTACGATTGTTGGGGACGTTTCTTGCACCCAGCGCTGGCGACGTGAGGTTCCCGCGATGGATTATTCGCAGGTGAACAAGACCCAGTGGCAGCCCGACGCACCTCAACTAAAATGGGGGTTTACGAAAAAAAGGGGACCACCCAATATCAATATCAATAAATAAATAGAAAAATATAAATATATAAATATATAAATATATAAATATATATATATATATATATTTATTTATTTATATTTATATATTTTCCCATGTCCCCAAATAGTAGGACTTCCTTTAAAATTTAAAAGAAGGACCCCAAAAAGGTAAGCCTAATGTCGGAACCCCCCCCCCCCAAAAAAAAAAAAAAAAAAAATAGAATGGGGAAAGTTGTGGACCGACGTGGGAAGTTCATGAGGCTTGTTCTGAGCTTGTTATGGTACCTTCTGGGGTTCTTTAAATAAGAGAGGCCGCCTTATAGCAAGGACCCTAAAAGGACCGTAATTTAGAGAAGTCACCATCTTGAGTATGTGCTGATCTTATGGGGGCAGTTGGGTCGGGGCTAGGACCTCGCAGGATGGAGCTCCAGCTTATCCCAAAGCCGGACCTTCGAATTCAGGCCTAAACCACGTCAACCCCATGTATCCCCTGGCTCTTAGTAGAGAATGTGGGGATGTAGGGCCCTATATATACCCTTTAAGGAATTCTATAGGGTACCTCATTCCCATATTCCCTACCAAGAACCAACCCTACTTGGAGGTTCATGGCCTGTACTTATAACCCACTTATAGGCCCCTTAATGCCCGAAGATGGTTAGAACTACAGTTATCAGTACAGTTATCATTGGTTAATAAGAGCCTCCAAGCTACCCTAAACCCTAAACCCTAAACCCCAAACCCTAAACCCTAAACCCTAAACCCTAAACCCTAACTCCTGGGCTCCTCCTCATGTTCTAGGAGTGCCTCCGCCTGCGGGTGTTCGGACAGCCACCTGTGGGTGATGACATCGCCTACACGGAGACAGGCTCGTGGAACCCTAAACCCTAAACCCTAAACCCTACACCCTACACCCTAAACCCTAAACCCTAAACCTACACGAGCACCAAGAGGGCCAAACTTTTTGGATTTTGTCATTGAACGATTAGGTAGTATATGGGGATGGGGATTTTCCACAATTCGGGATACCTTTTTTGAGCAATAGGGTATACGACTCTTCTCCTCGCTGAGGAACTTTTGCCGGTTTAAGGTGCTCTTCCTCTACTTGGAGGTTCAGGGTACCGAGTAGCCCAATTATCACTGCAACTTCTAACCCAATAAGAGCCTACTCGGGTGCTGAAAAGGAGCTCCCTGAACCTCCCAGGGTTTAGGGTTTAGGGTTTAGGGTTTAGGGTTTAGGGTTTAGGGTTTAGGGTTTAGGGTTTAGGGTTTAGGGTTTAGGGTGCACCCTCTCCAGGTGGAGGTAGCATGCCCGGCCACGAGCAGCGGATGAACACCTTCTGCCGCGTGGCCAGCTTTCCTGGCCTTGGCTAAGTGCGAAGGAGAGGTCTGACCAGGAGCTGGGGGAGTTCATAAAGAGGGGGGTGGGGGTAGGGTTTAGGGTTTAGGGTTTGGGGTTTAGGGTTTAGGGTTTAGGGCTTAGGGCTTAGGGCTTAGGGTTTAGTGTTTAGGGTTTAGGGTATAGAAACTCTGTTGGCGGAGTACGTGGGCTTTACCCCTTAAATTCATGCGGCCAGCTTCAGCACCAGTGCTGACCGCTGGCCTGGCTTGAAGGGCGTGGGAGTTTCTTGCGAGGACTACATAGGGTTGTGGGGCAGGACGAGGCTTTGCTTTGCTTGGGGGTTTCCGAAAATAGGGGGGGGGGGGGTACCTTATTCAGGTCCTTCTTATAAGGGGATCCTACTATTCGGGGTCAAAATTAGGGGTCCGTTATTCTGGTAAACCCCCACTTCGTCTCCCCCCCAAGAAGAATTCAGGATGCTTCGTGCCGGCTGGTACACTGTACTGCCGACCCACAAGTCTGTAAGCCCTGAACTGTTACACATGTGATTTAGGGTTTAGGGTTTAGGGTTTAGGGTTTAGGAATTGCCGGCGAGCTCTTCCCAGCTTCTGGTCCGTGGTTCAGGGTGGATGATTAAGATTTTGTGAGAGCTCATGGTTGAGGGTTTAGGGGGGCCTTGGGGGTACAGTAGGTGCTTGTACAAAGGAGGAGGCCCTAAATCATTGGGCTTCTGCAATTTTGCGGCCTGGCGTCTAGCTGACGGAGCTGTCCGAAGGCCCCGAGGCGTGCCTTTTGGCAAATCGAATTACTGGGTTTAGGGTTTTAGGGTTTAGGGTTTAGGGTTTGGGGTTTAGGGTTTAGGGTTTAGGTCTTGTAGGCTCACCGGCATGGAGACAGCAGTGCCTGCCGCAGCTTGTGCAAATCCTGCACGCTTCGGTCCGGCCCGGTGGCAAGCTTTGGGCATACTTTCTGCTCCGATCTGGTGATTGAACAGGTCCGGGCGAACGAGCAGAGCTGGCCCCTTTGAATCAGCGTGGATGCCCCGCCAACTCGTAGCATTTTCCCTTCGGCTTCTCGCAGTCTTTGAGTGTTAGGCTGGGCTCTGCAGGGATAGGGGAACCTGCAAACATGTTCAACAATGCACTATTGTTAGTAGCATCGTCCTGTTAATGCTTATATCATATGAGGTTCCATTGATATTATCATTATAAGCCAGCCTCCTCAACGACTGCGCGGAGCCTCCCCTGAGCCGCTTCACAGTTTTCCGTTGAAAGGGGCCCAGTCCCCTAGACTTTCCGAAACTGGAGGGCGAAGGAAACGTCCGGCTTCCCTCGTCGCCGGCCAAACCCTCGTTCAGCCCAAGGTATCTAAGGGACCATGTCTTTTGTAGACTTGCCACGAATGCACAAGGAAGTTGCAGGGACATATATATATATATATACACATACATATACATATAAACATATATGTATATATATATATACATACATACATACATACATACACACACGTACGCATATTTTTTTGCAAAACGATCATATGGGTCGTTCTTCATCGACATAGCCCCTTTCTAAGTACTCAAGCTGGAGGCACCCTACCACTTTTGAGAATGTATATAACTTAGGGGCTGGGTGCTTAACCTTTACCCTTTGTGGTGAAATAGAATCCTACTATATGCCAGAGGTTAACCTTTTTGGGGCTAGGGTATTCATCCCTACGATAGGCAGCCAGCCATACTTTGTTTGCCCTTGGACCCTCCGGCCGTGGATGAGGCGCCCCATCCAGTCTCAGCTCTTGCGTTCAGGCGTGAGCCTCCTTTAGTCATACGAGCAAATCCAGTATCCGGGTACCTCATACAGGGGTCGGAAGAGCAATAGCATTCCCTTATGGTCACTATGTAGCTACACTATATAGTTATCCCTCGACACCCTATTCTACTTTCATGGGTTTCCCTACCACCCCCTCTATACTACCCCCCCTAGGTTGCCCCTTAAAAAACCTTAATTATCCCCGAATAGCCTTAACCCAGGAGGGGTAGTATAGAGGGGGATAGCAGGGGAGGCCCCTATAGTAGATGTGCAGGGGCTTTATAGGGTTCTGGGGGGTTCGGGGTTTCGTGGGTTCAGCTCCCAAGTTCACGTTTGCGATTCTTGTTCGGGTTCAGGGTTTCGGGTTTCGGGTTTAGGGTTTAGGGGCCAAGGTTTAGTGTTGTGACGGAAGATATTCGATGGGTACCCGAAACTAAGCTTTGCCCGTATGGCAGGTCCTGCTTTGCAACCGCAGCTGCAGAGGCAACTTTTAATTTTCCGAAAAGTTGTTGTCACTTTGCGGTGAGCAGATAAACTTTCATGCAGAAGCCCCCTTTTTCCCCTGAAACGCTCCCCTTCCTCGCCCTTTGCACCCTTAGCCTCGGGACTACGCTGTGAACAGTGTCCGGCTTTCCATTGACCATGCAGCAGCCACGAAGTGGGCACTCTGCATCAAACTAAGTCATCTTCGGCGATCGAGAAAAAGGGGCTGGGACATGCTTGCTGCACCCTAACACCATGAGCTACTCCTGAAACGATAAACCTTCTAGCCTTTTGAGGCCTAGGACCCCCTTACGCGCCCTAAACCCTGGAACCACACCCCTTGACGCGCTAGACTTTTGAGTCGGTGTTGGATTTTTTGGGGTGTCGGCATTCAGGCTGCAGGGTGTTCGCTTCAGGGCTTTCGGCCTTTAGGCTCTACGGGGCTTTAGGGTTTTAGGGTTTTAGGGTTTTGGGGTTTTGGGGTTTTGGGGTTTTGGGGTTTTGGGGTTCTGGGGTTTTGGGGTTTTGGGCCACCACATGGGACCCTAAACCCTAAACCTGAGCCCTACAAGCTATAAACTCTATCTTGGTGCTCGTGTGAGACCCCAGAATCCGCTGTATTCAGGCAGCTACCGTAGCCCCAAACCCTAAACCCTAAACCCTAAACCCTAAACCCTATGTTCTTCACACTCCTAGCCTTCAAATGAAGGACGGTTCTTCTTGGCCTGAAAGTTTCAATCCTCCAACCAGCCCAAGCCTTGAAACCCAAAGCCTCCACCAAACCCGGCCTTAACCCCATACCGGTTTAGGGTTTAGGGTTTATAGGGTTTAGGGTTTAGGGTTTAGGGTTTAGGGTTTAGGGTTTAGGGTTTAACCCTCTAGCAAAACCCAAGCTTTGCCTAGAGATACAGGACATGCATCCCACACGATGCTGCCCGACGCACCTGCAGGTCCGCTCCCTCTGAGTTCATCTACCCTATAAACCCTGAACCCGGTATGCCCTGAACCCTGAACCCTAACCGCATCCGCCTGATATACCGTATACCCTATAGGCCCTATGTGGCCCTATAGACCCCATGTACCCTGTATACCCTATATACGCTATATACCCTACTGTATAAACCCTGAACCCTGTAAACCCTTCCTCAAAAGCCCCGGACAATTGGGCTCCCTAAGCCCTACACGCCCAACTTACCTTCAGCCCCTCAAGTCTCGTACGTATTGCGCCCGAATCCCCCAGCAAGACTTGTTAACCCCCAAGCCTTGCTGCCTACTTCTCTTTTTTGCAGCTATAGATATGTATATGTAGATGTTGCGAGGTTTGGTTGATAGAGGCAATCGCAAGACAAGATTAACAACGAGAATCATATCGATAAGTCCCCAAACCCTAAACCCCAAACCCCAAACCCTAAACCCTAAACCCTAAACCCTAAACCCTTAACCCTAGGCTGCCTGGAGTTGCTTCATGCTGGGGGCCCGCAAGGGGTCCCATAATGCGTCTTGGGAAGCGTGCCAAAGATGGGCGACCAAAGAAGGACAAGAAGGCGCGGGCACGGGACACTAAGCGCTGAGCTACAACTACTGAGCCCTCAGACCCTAAGAAGCCCTACCCCTAAACCCCAAACCCTAAACCCCACACCCAAAACCCTTAACCCTAAACCCTAAGAAGCCCTACCCCTAAACCCTAAACCCCACACCCCAAACCCCTTAACCCTAAACCCTAACCCTAAACCCTATTCCTTTTTCGCCCTGGTTGAGGTTCTTGGTGTCTTGGGGTTCCCTAAAGCCTCAGACCATGTGAGCGTTTAGGATTCAGGGTTTAGGGTTTAGGGGCCTCTGCTTGGAAATGCCTTGGTCTCTCAGAAGCAGGCTTTCGTAGGCCGCCATCGTGGCTGACCACATCCCCCCCCCCCCTGCAAACCTTGAACTCCAAACTCCAAAACCCTCTACTTTGTTTGACCCTTGGGACCCTGAACCCTAAACCCTAAACCCTGAACCCTAAACCCTAAACCCTAAACCCTAAACCCTAAACCCTAAACCCCTACCTTCTCCCTTATTGGTTTTTGACGGGAGGATCACATCACATTGGCATGCTTCAGAGGGTTGAAGAGAAGAGGCCAACCGATAGCAGAGACCCCAACTCCAACCACCCGCTCCCGAAAGTTGATCAGGGTTTAGGGGTTTTAGGGTTTTAGGGGTTTTAGGGGGTTTAGGGGTTTTAGGGGTTTTAGGGGTTTTAGGGGTTTTAGGGGTTTTAGGGGTTTTAGGGGTTTTAGGAGTTTTAGGGGTTTAGGGTTTAGGGTTTAGGGGTTTAGGGTTTTAGGGGTTGAGGGGTTTAGGGGTTTAGGGTTTAGGGTTTAGGGTTTAGGGTTTAGGGCTTAGGGCTTAGGGCTTAGGGTTTAGGGTTTAGGGTTTAGGGAATCGATCGCAGAGGACCCCAAGTCGGATGCACCGAGCAGAGAGGCCGGGCGAGGGACTGCGAACGCCTGTGTCGCAGGCTTCTCGCGCACCCTAGGGTTGTGGGTTTAGGGCTTAGGGTTTAGGGTTGAGGGTTTCGGGTCGCGGGTTTAGGGTTTGAGGTTTTAAGGGGGGGGGGGGGGGCTTTTGACTTCGCCCTAAACCTGAAGCCTTAAATCTTTTTGGACCCTGGGCACTGTGACCAGCATCGCCGTTTTTGAGTCACCCTAAACCCTAAACCCTAAACCCTAAACCCTAAACCCTAAACCCTAAACCCTAAACCC